TCCAGAGCTCATAATATGCCTTTGCACAGGAATATGTAGATGGCCTTTGAAGTCTTAAAACTCTACCAGTTGTTGGTGATAAAATCACCCAAGAAGAGCACAAAGATAAACCAACACACTTCAGTGTGGAATCAAGAGATGACTTACTTGTGTGTGTGCTCAGTACTCACAGCAGTGTCTCTCCAAAAACGAGATGTATTACTGGTACCACTGTGTACCAGCACCTCCTTCTGTGTGATTCTCAGTTAATTCTCCAACATTCTGTTTCCCTTTCTGAAGAAATAAACTGTGGCAACACAAAAACCTGTCCAAAACCACCAACATGGGTGGGGGACAAGAACAGATATCAGCCTGTATCAAATGAGTTATGGTATTTGCATAGCAGATGGAAAGACAAACACTAGAAAGACCTTGCCAGAAAAGCTAAAAAGAGTGTTCCTGAGGTGGTGTGCTGGTGGATATGCCAGCAATACAGGGGCACCTGGAATGCTCTGAAACACTTGCCAGGCCTGAGCTATGGCTGCTGTTCACCTGCCCTATACCCTGATGAGGACAGCCTGGGCAGCTACCCAACAGAGCAGTGCAGGCATTGTCTGCTGCCCTTCCTGCAACATGAGAGTCCATGGAGGACAATTTGGTGTGATCTACAATCAAGACTGGAATACGTCATAATAATTGACCAGTCTATTTCCCTATGCATATCACTTGTAACCTCTCTTGGATGGGTCAGATGAGGTCCTTCTGGCCCCTGGGAAGAGGAGGAGGGTTCCCCTGCCAGCTGCAGTGGAACAAAACAATGTCACATATAGGCACATCTACAGCACTGCATTAGAGCTTCTTGGCATTATCTTGGGCCAATATGTAAATGGTTGCTAAGCAGATTTAGGTTGCCAGGTAATCCTGTGCTTAATGCTCTCTGGCAATGCCAGAGCTGAGACCCTGGAAGAGACAGCCTGCCACGTGGCAGCTGCAGGTGGACATGGGCCTCGCTGGGAGACCCTGGGATCACCCTGATGGGATCACCCTGACTGCTGGGCTCCAGCGGACCACTGTCCTGCGGGAGCCCACGCTCACGGGCTATCGGCCGGACCGCAAGAGTTTTCACTTCCAAAGCAGGCAACATGCACCAACGTGGCCTGCAGGGAGACAGCTGTAAACCCTTGGATCCTGCCGCTGCAAGTGCCCAAGTGCCACCCTGCGGTTCCCCGTCGGGATTCCCCGGCTGCTCCGTGCCTGTCCCTGCCGGGGGAGCGGCACCAGCCCACCCGGGTCCCGCTCCCTGCCCCGGGACGACGCTCTGCGCTGCCGCCCACGGGAGCCTGGCAAGGACTTCAACGCGTCTGTGCAGGGGCTCCCGCTGTGCTGGGTCCTGTTATCAGGGACATAAAAGGAAAGAGGCACTTCTTACACTCCCCTACGTGACCCAGAGCAACAGCTCCATGTGTGGATTTTTTTGTTCTTTTGGGGAGAAGGGAATGTAGGTGGGTCTAGTAAAATAAATTGCAGGACTTTTTGTTTTGATTAAAGCCATTGTGCAACTACTGCTTGTATTTTCTGTAGTCACATTCCTACAGCTACACTCACAATAGAAGGCAGCTTATTTTTAAAATGAGAGGAAAGCTTGACAAAAGGTTACAGTAAAGAAAGAAAAGCTAAGGACATTGATAAGGTATCAGCCCTATTCCATACATCAGACAGGTATAAACATGTTTAAAACTGTTACAATGATAGTTTGCTTTCTCAAGTGCAATGGCACTTGAGAAAAGTGCAGAAAATGCCACATTCATGTTTAAAGCATAAAATACAGTAAAGGAATAGATGGCAGTATTTAAAACATGCAGATGAGCTCCAGAAACTTGAGGGCATTACTATAACTGAGTGCAAAGAAGGAACTATTTATCTTAGGAGTCACTGGATAATGTGTAACATATACAGAAAAGAGAGGTACAAGGTCAGCTCTCAGGAGCGCTGGTAGTTTGGAATTGGAAGTATTCTTTGTGAGGCCCTCTGCCATCTAACTTCCAAGAAAAAATACCGTAGCAAACAAATTCTTTCAACCCTTCTTTTTCTCTCTAGTTTTCTGTTTAGGAAAGCAAGATTATTTCATCTTAAGAGTGCCTGAAAACTAAGAATAGATGAAAGGGAGAAACGCTAAACAGCTTCTTCCAGAAAAATGCCTTTATCTATAGATTCATGTACTTCAAGTTTCAAAGGAACGTTATGATTATCTAGTTAGAACTGCCTGACTGGCTGCAAAACCTCACCAAGTAATCTCTCCATCAAGCACATAACATCTGTTTGAGTAATTGCACACCTCTTACCAAGAAACCTAGTCCTGATTTAAGGGCTGCAAGTGATGAAGTTCTGCAGTCCTTACTCAGGATTTGACTCAATGAAAACATTGGCATATTATGCTCTCCGTCTGTTAGGTTTGAAGAAACAGAAAGATGTACCTGGCTCTAAAAAGAGATCTGTTTCAAATCTCTATGAACAAACTCTACAGATATAAAACAAACTAAAAGAGAATGCATCATAAAAACACTTGTGCTGAGTCTTCTCTTTTGTAAGTACACAAAAACATCTATTATTTTTCCTGGAATTTTTAGAGAACATTGACTAAAACGATTAATTTGACAGTGGTGTAAATCAACTCTGTAATTCGACTCTTTGATGTAAAACTTATTTAGTTTTCTGTTTCAATGATCTATAGGAACAGTTTCCAGCCCTCTGTAAGGCTAGAGGTCTTGATTTACAATACTCCACCTTCAATACCTTTTTAAAGATGCTAATGTAAAGAGATTTACAGCAGAGGCACTAACCTTAAGTAGTGAGATAAATTCTCTCTAAGTGCCACAGGAATTCAACCTTTCATATGCTGATGAGAGTTCAGATGTTCAGGTTTGACACCAGGGTAAAATGGTCATAGAACTACTCACTTGTTGACCAACACCACAAAAGCCAGAGTTCTGTTGCAGAAATAAAGATGAACTGGCTTTCCGACCAACATATCTGTGCCTGTGGTGGCAGCTGTATAAATACATTTGGTTGTTAAATGTGATCAAGATGCCTGATAAGCATATATAGCCAAAAGACAGCGTTTTCTTAATAGATGTGGATACAATATGTTCACAGAACATATCTGTGGGAACCTATGCTCATATGCAACTTTAAAGTACACACTGCCACAAAATACTTGCCCTCTTTCAGACACATTAATAAATAGTAGACAAATATTTCAGAATACTAGAACATTACTAAAACATGATCATATTGGTCATCTTGTTTTCTGTGGAAGCAAACATTAGGCATACATAAGCATTCAAACTATGGTAACTCTTCTTTTTGAAATAATGAATGTTTCCAATATTCATTTGCACCATCTGATACAGGAATAGATTTTGCTTACGTCCAGTGATGCCCTGCTATTGCTTGAATTGACTGTCACAGCTGAAGGTCATAAAGTGACTCAGTGCCAATACAAATAGATGAAATACTGAGAAATCCCTTTTAAAAATATTACCTTAATAAAATCAAGCAGAAGCTCAAGGAAAAAAATGTAAACTTCTAAAACAGAAGCATTAGACAGGTCTTCTCAACTCACCTTTCAAAATTACATCAACATAAAAAGCAATCGTAATAGTTGCACACCTAAATAAAAAAAGCTAGGATTGTACTTTGGACCTTAAAAAGAGCTCAGTTCACTCCCTTGTCAGATAGAGACTTCCTGTGTTACCTTGGATAAATTGTTTGGGACGAGGTTTCTGAATGCATGTACATGTCTAAATTTATCTAGATTTGAATTGGGGTATTTGCTACAGCTTCTCGTAACTAACAGGCACTGAAAATGAATGCATGTCTACTTTTAAAATGATCTCTAAGTTTGGTTTTCTTTCCTTGAGTGGTTGACTAGGGGTTCACAAGCCCATGAGCCTGGGCTATCATAAACAGTGCCATTCCGTATTTTTTTTTCACTTTGTATTTTGATAAGTTAGTATGGTGCCCATGAAGTTTTGGAGAACTAACAGGTCTGATAGTCTGCTGGGGGAGAGTAAACTCTGTTCCCCTCTGTAATATGAGAATAATTGTACCTTCACTAGGAGCTATCAAATAAACACAGGGCACGTTGTGAGACAGTCATGTTGTGTCATAATGTAGAGATATTCAGGACAGAGTTTAGACAAAGAAAAGAAAACTCCCAGTTGCTTCATAAAGAATGTATGTCTATTCTGTAAGTTGCCCTCCCTATTTCCACAGCTCATCAGAGAAGAAAGAAAGAACATAATTTAGTTCTCATACAAAAGTATAAATAAGGTAGGGGAGAAGTCCTTGCACCAGAAATTGAGATCATGTAAAAAGCTGAAATCACACAGCTGAATGTTGCCCAATATCTCCTGGAAGCTGCTCAGCATATCAGAATCAGGGCAGAATTTGTATATTTGTTTCAGACCTGGTTCTGCAAAACTAAATTAAATGAATCATCTCAACTTCTGCAGAATTAACTTGAAATCAAGAGGACTAACTACACAAAAATCATTCAGAATGGGAGGAGTTGCAGTGAGGCTACGTGCCCTCTAGACAATTGAAAAAGTTCTTTCCACAATGCACATCACATAACTATGATTAAGCTAATTGCTGACAGGAAGGCAAGGGTTTATTGAATGTGATGTCTCAGAAGCAGCAAGAAATCCCTTTATCTGAGGAGCCTAGAAGGAATATCAGGGTAAATTTAAGCATATTTTTTGGAATGCTTCATAAGCAGTTGCTAAAAGCAACTACCAGAGGTGAGATAATCAAAAGGTGGTTAGTCCAGTGCTTAACTGGCACAGGTTCCATCATATATGAGAAATTGTATTATAGTCCAAAAAGAGTATTCCCAAATTTCTGTATCATAAACTTCAACATTTACACTTTTCATTTTTTCCTGCCACAGTGGTCCAGAAAGATGCAACTGATGAGAATCTTTATGTTGACAAAGTAGAAAGTGCAGACTTTATGAGATTGCTTTATGCCATTTAGCAGTTTAGCTTTGCTACACTTTTTAAATTTAAAGAAATAATTCTTTGTACTAAAAGGCAAAAAAAAAACCATTCCATATTCAAATTATTAAACTATGGTTAGTCCACTTTAATTATTGCATATAAAAGTGTTTTATTCTTTTCTTCAATCAGACTGGCAGAGATCACTTAGAGCATTCAACTAGAACAGTCTCAATAAAAGCTAATCAAAAGCTCCTGTGAGTTTGAGCATGGGATCTGGTAAACTCAGTAACAAATAAAACAGAATTCTAAATATTCATGTTTACAAAAAAAAAATAATTACAAAAATATGGACAATAAGTTAATCAAGTAAAATAGTTATCTACTATTCAGATATAAAATCCCAGCAACTTAATTTACATATTACTATGGCAGACATAACAAAATTGTGAATAATGCTATCCACTGTCATAAGTGGTACTTTGAGATTTCCAACAGAAAACTTATATTTTAATTTTCTGTTCAAATACAGCCAAAAGTAAGAGGCAAAGCCAGCCTAATAGTAATCCAAGGTTCTGTAGCAGAAACATCAACCAGGGTCGCCGTGTCTGAATATGAGTCATTTCAGGAAGCTAAAAAAAGAATAAGACAGCAGAATGAGAGCCAGATACATTCATCTGTGGGAAAAAAAAGTTATGGGAAAACAAGGCAAACTTCATTAAAAAAAGGCAATTTTCAAAATGCTGAGCTTCTGACTATAGTTATTAATGTGTAGCATTTTCTGTACATTTTGACAAAGCTGATCTTGACAATGAAATATCTAAATTAATCAAATTCTATCCACTTTGATTCTTTTACTAGCACTGACAAGAATTATAAATAAGATTCTGAAATTTGTTAACATGTCAATATTTTGTAGTAATTTTATACAGCTGTCTGCAAGAAAATGCTTATTTAGTAAAATTAGTGATTTCCTTTTGTGGGAATAAACTAGTTGGAGTATTTTTTTGCTTCAGTACTATATATAGGGTCAATCATGCTTTTTCTGAAATAACTGGCAACACTCCTATTTACTTGGGCTTTAGGAAATGTACAAGTAGAAAACAGAACTTTTAAAATATGCTTGAAATAAATGTTTAGTGTTTTTCTCTGTGAGTTTTAAATCATGTTAAACACTTGTTTATAATCAAAATAAAAGCAACTTGCATTGACCTTTCACTCTACACACTGTATTTTATCAAATGTTTAAACTAAGTATGTGTCTAAACAGAGCTTGCAGAAATGATGCCTCAGGCTCAAATTCTCTTAATATTTCTGCTTTATTCAGGGGAGACACTGATGACTGCTAATACTGTCACATCAACTCTCGAAATAAATACAGAGCAATAGTCTGGTGCTGACCTCTGGTTTTGGTTGTGTGTTTTGTTCTGTGCTTGACTAAAACTACTGAGTTCCTGTGCACTTTGGAGGCTCTTCACGGTAGCTGTAACAGCAGCAGCCACTGGGAGACAGTGGAGTGGTGCTGACCAAGGAGGTTAACAGGAGTGTTTGCTATGCTTGTCCTTCCCTCTGTCAGAGGGGGGTCTTTGGGGCTGTTTCTTCTGCATTCTTCTTTTGTCTCAAAGTTGGCCTGGGCCCAAAACAAAACTGTGCTGAAAAATCTGCCTCCGCTTTCAAGTTTTGCCTGAAAAAAGCAGGGAAACTCAAATGCCCTGGATTTTCATTACAAGGCAGTGGTTTAAATTACAGTACAGAAACTTATGTAGTCATATTTGATCAGTTTTTAAAGATAATCATAAACTTTTAATCTAAAGCAAGTGCAAATACCTCAAAGTTCTGATGTAAATCAGACTCTGAACTGACAGTTTTAAGTGCTCAGAGCACACTGAGTTTTTTGTGTATATAAGTAAAAACTGTTAATTAAGACCTAGCCTGAATCCAGAGTTCCAGTCTAGATGTTTAGTCTTTCTTATCTTTATAATCAGTCTATTTTTTCTCTTCCCCAGTGTCTGAGTGAAAAGTTCTCCAAACAAGAAAATTTTCTCCTCCCACTGCAAAATTTAATTTCTATTGTTGTCAGTGACAATTTATTTACTGCTGTCAGCGACAATTTAGGAGCTATACACATGCACAATAGGTAATTAAGAGAGTTTTCAAAGGAATTTTTAGCAAGTAGTACCCTTCCCACATCCAGTGCTGATGTCTGCTCCCTCCGTCTCACCTACGTGCATGTAATCAACACAGCAACCATTTCTATAGCTGTACCTAGTGTGACATCCCTGCTCATCTGTTAAAATAAAATGGCTGCTGTCACAATATCAGCCATGGTTCCCAGCTCTCTCTGAACAAAAAAGTTTGTAGTACAGCAGAGAGAATGTCATTGTTAAAAAGCACAACTATTCAACAGGCAGATGCAAACCACACTTCACGAGTTAAGGTGAACGCAGCATCACATCCAAGCTGTAGGAAGCTATCACACTTGCTAGTGCTCCAAGTCTGTCAGAGGCAAAAGAGGTACAGCTAATCAAGGGAGTTCTCTGTTCTACTCCAGCTCATGTTATCATGAGTGCACAAAAGATAAGAATAAATAGGAAGCAGCACGCTGAAAGAAGGCATGAGAGGCTCTCAGGCATGTACTGGCTGAAAAAGAGCTCTTACCAAGCTGGGCACATGTGGCATGGCTGCTGCACTGCAACAGTCCAGAAAATCACTTAAAAACTACCCTCTTATCTTAAAAATTGAAAACATTTTTAAAATTAATCAGAGTAAGCTCCAGTTTTGTATGATTTCTTGGTGAAAAATAATGGAGATAAGTGATTTTATCTTTTGTTCCTTATTCAGTTTCTGAAATTATTAGTCTACCCAGCTTGCTAATGGAGTTACAATGCCATTTGTAGAAATGAAAAACCTTTAATTAACCACAGAAGTAGATTTGTGCTACTTTGTCTGTGGTGGCAGTCTCACAGTGCAGTTCTGTCAACAAACCTCCACTCACACCCCTCAGTGTTCTTCAGTGCAGAAACCAATGAGGCTGTTCAGTTTTATCTAACTGCAATTCTGACAAGCACATAAATATGTGAGAGCCCATAAAACAAGTATTGAAAATAACAGTCAAACTTTGTGTACTATTAAGTGTTTGTACACCATTGGCAGGAGAACTGATGACGGTTTATATATGAGAGTGCAGCAGAGTATAGAACCTATTTCTGTGCAGAAAGTAGAAAAATACAAAAAGAATGGCTCGTTTTCTCTTGAGATGTATCATTTTATCTTGAGATGTACTATACAAACACAAAACTTTTCAGACCTATAGATGCCTGCAGTGCTACATAAATATTTTTTTAAAATAAAATAATTTCTGAGATATTTGACACTGATATACAGGTGAGCCACCCAATGGCAGTTCCTTTGACAAAATGCAGAGAAAGGCTGATAAGAGTCTTATTAATAAAAGGGATTGAGAGAAATAAGATCCTTCCCTCTCTCTCCCTTCTTTCCTCCCTTCACATCAAGACTAGGATTATGATGACAAGCTGAGAACAAGGCAAAACATGTCCCTGTCTCTGCCTGGGACTATATTTTCTCTTGAGATTTACAGCTGACACATTGCTTTGAAAACTCAGGGAAAAACATGGTATTGTTCTCGGAGCTAGTGGATTCTTGATGGATGCCGATCCTACACTGAAGGAAAAATATGTGTACATCGTTCTCAGCCCCATTAGTAAAACCATGCCTAGACAGTTGGTAGGCAGCCTCACTTCCAAATTTCTCTGCCAGAACAAGCTGCAACTTGGTACAAAGTGTTCTTGTCTGTTATTTACTACCTCAGTCAGGACTGTTGACACATCAGCAATCCTTTGGCCGTTGCCTCTTAAACTCTTAGGTGAACTTTATGTTCATTTTACTCTAGTTACAATAGCAAAAACAGACTAAAATACTACCAGGGACTAAGATCAGTTAATGTAAGTAGAATTTTAAATAGGTCATAATACTGGAATGGCATATCAGGTTTAAAGCATGATGCCTGAACCTGGTAAAGAGCATCTCAGGCATGAAGTGGTAATAAACACAAGTGAGAGACAGACAATCTTGGGAAAAAACAAAACAATAATTTTTGAAGAGACTTCTTTTTTTCTCCCTCATGATCTACTCACTCAAAACATTCCATCTTTGTGGAGGAGCTTGCAAGGAACTTTACATCAACACATGATGGTTAAAGACCCATGTGACAAAGCTGGGCAGGCATTTAAGTTCTGCATTGCTACAAGTGTAACAGTTATCCACCTCTTCAATAAATTATGTGGCCTGAGGCATCTGCATGAGCTATGACTGCTCCACACTTTTACTTAGACCTTCCTCCTACCTTGTATCTTCACACTTTATTTTTCGATAGACAGATCATTGCTATTGAACTAGGAGTATGAAAAATATTGGGCAACTATTAAAAAGTTGAGGTAATCTGAAGTCTTTTTTTATTACTTAAGATCTAATTCAAACCTCCCTAGGACAAAAAGGAAGTGTTCAGGATAAGCATCTTACATTTTAGTTCTGAAACTGCAAGTTTGCATTGAAACAAAGGGTGAAAAATATATAAAGAAAAGGGCAGAAAAAGAAAAAAACCAACCAGTTTTTTCAAGATCTTATAATCCTTGAAGGTTCAAATATATGTTTTACTAAATAACTAAAAGTACATTGTTTAAAAGTCTTTAAAAGATTTTTTAAAAGACTCTAAAATTCCATTATGCCTTTCTCTTATTTTAGTCTCTTAATGGTCTTCATTTCCCCTGTTCATTATAATGAAACCTAGCATGAGAGTACACAGAAGAAAAACAGAGTACTTTTCTAAGCACTGTACACACACAGGGCAGACAACATGCTCTTCCCAACAAGCTCTTTTTGTCTCCATGTTCATCCCCCTGCATTTGTCTGACACTCATCTATGATGTGGCTATGCTAAAAAGAAAATATAAAAATAGACTGAGGTGCTCACCATTTCTGCTAAAGATAAATACAAGAACATTCCAGCTGTAATAGTAAAGATCCAGTTTTGAATGGATGGGTCAGTCGACAGAGAAAGGCCAATATAAAGTCCTAAGAATGCTGTTAGTGCACTTATAAAATTCATCAAAATTGCAATCTTCGTTGGGAGCCCTGTACTTAGCAGCACAGCAAAATCTCCTGCACAGAGAAGAAGAACATTTATTATTTAGTTGATGAATGTATTTTTAAGACTCTTGGTAATAAAATATGAAGGAAAATAATTAAGATATGGACAAAGAATGATGGATACCTGCCTTTAGAATTCTGTAGAATTAGTTATAAACTTGTCCTGTGTGAAAGAAAAATCTCAAAACAAAGAAGTCATATTGATTTGTACTTGTTTAGCTGTTCCTAAAGATAGCATACAGTATTGGGGAGTGGCTTTCTGTTAGTTCTCTGTGTTCCGTGACATTTCCAGCTTGGATACATGCAAAAGTGAAGTCACATGGTTTCCCAGAGTTTCTAAATCTTTCTCCACTGGGAACTTGCCAGCTCAAATCATGTGGGTATATTTGCAGCATGGTCTTTGAGTGTTTTACAGGTGCTGCAAGTCAGAGTAATCTATGCCAGTCTGATCCCAGTTTGAGTGTAATCCCACTCATTTCAGTCCTAATCAGATGGAGTAAATTGTACATCAGAATCCCATCACACATTTGCCTTCTAAAATGAAATATTTCATAACAGGCCAAAACTAGAAGATTTGAAAAGTTTTGCTCCATGACTGTAAAAATGTCACTTTGACACTGGGGCACTATTGCCCCAGAATTAAGAAGGTGTCTTTGGAGGTAATTGTCAAGTATTTAAATTTGCTTTGCTATGCAAACAAGAGTTAGCAGATTTACAGCAATCCTCCATCCCACCTTTTTGTTTGGAGGAGTTTTCTACATAGCACGTGAAATCTTCAGTCATTTAATGATAGAAATGACAACCTGCAGTTCTCAAATAAAACTTCCCAATTCATAAACATTCATCAACACAATGTCAGGAGCAGCTTCAGCCATGCTGGAAGTTTTACCAGAAACAGTCAGTCAAGGGCAGTATACAATCCACCCATCCTGTCCAGCAGGAATGAGGGTAGTAAGAGGTATACTTGATTAAATAGCTCTGCTGCGTATTGAAATTCTTGGATAGCCCATTGTGTCAGGCATGGCCATTACACACACAGGTCCTGCCAACAGTTTATTATTTTTTGTGTCCGTATACATAAGAATAACAGGTCACTCCTGACCTGATGCCATTTGCATCTGGAGAAAGTGAAATGGAAAGGTATCCAGTAATGAGTGCAGAAGCCTCCTCCGGTTTTTGTGAAGGGCAAAGAAAGTATCAGTCTCATATTGCAATGCTGTAATTCATGATGCTATAAGCAAGAATTCCCACAAATGTCATACAGGAAAGAAATTTTTGGGAAACCTGGAAATAAAAAGTCAATCAGGAAAAATACATACATATATTTCTTACCCATTTCATGAGGAATTTCATGGCATAAAATAGCAACAGTCGTTGTCACACCTGTTTCTGTTGAGGATGAGAATGCTGCTCCTATTACCAAGCCATCAGCAAAATTGTGAAGACTGTCACCCACCAGAACCATTATTGCTAACAAGCTGATTTTTTTACCTCAAAAAAGAAAAACAAACAAACAGATAAAAAGCCCAGTATTAACCCAAAGAGATATTGCCAGCTTTGTTATGTTACAAAAGATTTGGGGTTTTTGTGACTGCATATAACATTACAAAAAGTCATAATAATCAGAAGGAAATAGTGTTTATCTGATTTGTCCTTGTTATGGCACTTCCTTCAATAAATTTGAAAAAAAAAGCAGGTTCCATAACAATTCAAAATGAGATGCAAATGCCAAGAAATAACTTCCTTATTCTTACTAGGTCAACTATTAGACAAACATTTAGGTTTGTGTCCTGTCTCATGAAGCATCCTAAGGCTCTTTATTAATCTTTCTTTATTTGATGAAATTCACACAAGTTTTCTAGTTGGTATGTGGAGTTCTTCCACCATTGCTCACAGAATTGCAGAGCTATAGTGAAGATGAATATTTGGTCTCATGCAGTTGATTGTTTTAATCCTGTAAAGCTTGCTATTACTGAATAGTATTTGCAGGGTCTGGTTTTTTTATGCAATTGTATTACAATGAAAGATAGAAATGAAAGACACCAAGCCTCAGAGTATCACTTACAGTACAGGGTTACAGCATGCTTATAGCCAACATTTGTTCCAGTCAATTAATGGCTGTTATGCTCATAGTACTCCTATCTGGAGCACTACTCATGGGTGTAGATGGCTGTTTGTCTTTCCCATGCTGCTCTGTGACCTTGTTTTAGTGTAGAACAGTATACTGGGTGTTCATGGCATCATGTCACCTGGCCTGAGTGGAAAGGTGCTACCAGCAATGCAAGTACTGAAATCAAGCTAAGGAATTAGGGATAGTCTCTCTGCCCAGCCTGTAACAGAGACAGCTGGGTGGAATGCTGAACAGATTCCCAGGGAGGCAGTTTATCTCTTCAAGAAGCAAGAAGGCTCCATATAGGTTCAATGTCTAAACTTAGTAACACACAATTGGCTGCTCTATTCTGTATTTTTTTCATTCATTTAATCTACAGTCTTACAGTCAGGGCTGCCTAATGTCTGTCAAGAAACTCATCCAGCTTCCCTCTACACAGAACAGATAGAACATTTTGAAAAGGGTTTGTTTAATGCCTGAAGAAGCAGGGTCATAATTTGGGCCCTAAATATGTATTTTTCTGACTTTTGGTGACCCCACATAGACATAATATGACAGACTAAGGAGCAAATGTCAAACTGCACCAATCTGTCTGAATACAGTTATTACCTGTCTCAGTCCAGTAATGTTTCTCTGAGATGACCATTTTATAGTGATGGTGGAGATATTTTTCTCACAGAAACTGGCTAGAACTGAAGTCTTCAGACTATTATAAAAAACACGCAGAGCACATAAAAGCCTAACAACCGTATTCAGAAAATCCTCCTTGGTTGTCTGGGAGCTCTGTGGGTTCAGAAAAATTGGCAGGCTTGTAAGATTTTGCTGCCAGCTTACAGAGCAGGACGTGGATGTCCCCAGTTTGCACAGTACTTTCTAAACACTATGGGCAGTTTATAATCAATAGTGCAGAGCCTGAATTACATAGAAATAACAGATTGCTGTCTTACATTAAGTTTGTGATTTGTAATAAGCACTGGTCAGGATGAATTCATGGCCTGCCCTGAGGTCTTATTAGTCTGTTTTGTTCAAGTATCTGATTGCTGGAGAAGATATACTCCATGATTACTGGAACTCATTCCAGGATGTTTCAGTATAACACAGGGATCGGGTTAACATTGTGGAGCAATTACAGATATAAGCCTTGTGACCTTACTTGACAGAAAGTTAAGAAGATGCATGTATAAACAAATCTGAATGTTTATCTTACTTCACTTTCAACCTATTTTAAAGCAACTTTGTTACTGGCAATTATCTCATTGCATTATATTCCAACACAAACTATTAACTATTAACTTAGTACCTTAACTTTTTCTACAAAGCCTCTTCTTCTTCAACAATCTTCCTTTTTTTTCTTTGCTTAAATAGAGGATCAGAAGTCATAGCAAATTCTATTCTATAATGTTCATAAAACTAACGGGTACCTCAATCATACACTGCACTTTTTAAGTTTAGAATAAGAGTTTAAAGCAAACATTTATCCATAAATAGATATTTTCCTTAATGGGTACCTCAATCATATACTGCACTTTTTAAGTTTAGAAGAGTTTAAAGCAAACATTTATCCATAAATAGATATTTTCCAATGTTTCCATGACTAACACAGAAAAAATATTTCTAGTCAATGTAAAGTGTCACTAAGTACAACAAATATAAAATGCTACTGTTCTTCTCTGATATTGATAGAACAAGTATGGATAAATGCAGAGAGGGCCAGTCAGACATCTTTTTATTTAGAAAGTTTCTTGCTTTCTAAGTTACTCCCTGACTATCTATGGTGATTTACTCTTTTTGCAGTCCTACTTGACAGGCATTTACAGTGAAGCTTTGCAGTTCTGGAGTTGTCAGGCTTCTCTCTTAGACATGCAGATTCCATTCAATTTTGGGGAAGAAACACCTCACTCAGTATCAAGGTACCCAGGTATGTTTATGCTCTTAGCTATTTAAAAGAACTGTAATGAAACCAACTTTTCTAATTACGTATTTCCCCCCCCCCCCCCCCAAAAAAAACCCAAATTACCTCCCACCCTTTCCTACTAAGGTTTCATTTATGGAAGTAAGGGGAGCTAATTATAGTAAATAAACAGATTTAAATTAAAATATTATTCCCTCAGTTAAATGACTCCAGCTCTACTGAATTCACCAAGGTCACAAAGTACAGTTAAAGGCAAAATTTGGTTTATACTCTATTTTTGTATTTTTACTAAGCAGCAAAAAACCACAGAAGACAGGAGTTATCAAAGTTCTCAGAAGCAAACAGATTACTCTAAAACTGAGAGCCATCATGAGGCTACAATTCCATACCTGTGATAAATCACTGCTGCTTTAAAGAGTCTATTGCTTTACTGTTTAAGAGAAGGATGCAGAATTATATTAGCACAGCAAGTCTACAAAAAATATTTCACCACTTTCAGAAATAAAACCCTGAGCTAAGTTTAAAATTATAAAAATATGTCTTGTATTAATTTTTTACTATTTCCCTTTAAGCAAAGACTTTAGGAAAATAGACTGCAACAGTAAGACAGCAAATACTAAAGCAAGGACCAGTGTGAGATTAATGAACTTCACAATTACAGGGTTGGCAGATGAGAAGGTCTTTAAGCAGAGATTAAATTATGTAGCCAGGCACCGTCGGATGTGATGATGTGTCACACAGCAAACATAGAACTAAGCCAGCTGCACACTTTCAATTCCATCTTAGGTCTGAAGGTTTTTCCTGTCTTGTCTAGTCTTTTTATTGATACTAACTTTTTTTGCTGATCACCTTGCTGTCTGGAGGAGCTTCAGCAGGTTCAGAATCTTCCGAGCTTCTCTAGTTAAAAGCAAAGATAATGGGTCAGTGTTAAGGGTGTCTTCCAGCTGCTGCCATAAATACAGGAAAATAAAGTTCAAGCTATTTGAATTAAAGATAGTCAATGGTTATTTGCACAGATGTCATTAGAATAATTTACTGGCCACTGGCAGTATGATTGGTACTGCAGAAACACATAAAAAAGAAATCTACCTCTGCCAGGGAGGGTTAAGTCTTATTCAGGCAGGAAGAAATACATTCATAGGCATTGTTGTAACCCAAGAAAGCCACACTTCTGCTTGAATACACAAAAACCTTAGCCAAAGACTAGGAGGGACATTATAATTAAAACTGCATGTTTTCATTTTGTCATAACTGGATAACTGTATTTTCCTGGAGAATGTGTCCATAGGATTTCCAGGGAAAAAGAGGTAGAGTCTTTTAGTAACTCATGTTCTTCAGAGTTTATCTGTGAAAACACAAGACTGAAAAATATGATCATCAGTAGGTTTCATCCCCTTTCAAAATACAGGGGTTTTTCTCCAGTGTCTCGTGTCTTGGCTTTTAGCAAGGGCTTCATCTCAGCATCAGGCAGCACTGGCTGGGCATAGCAGCACTTGAGTACACTCCATGGTGAAATTTACCCGTACTTCAAGTGAAGAAAGAGACAGTGACTTCCTCCTTATCCTAGAGAGAGAAATTGATGTACCAGCCCAAACATTTAATTAATAGATATGGCAACTGTTGGGAAATAAAGGAGAACATGAGTAATCTCTCACTGCCCCTATTGGAGAAATTATTAGAAATTCATGTGAGGGAGAGAGAAGCCAAAAGACTTGTTTGCTTAAAACTAGAAAGACTGAAATTTAGTTTCTGAGGGCTTTTCTCCCAAAAAAAGTATGTTAAAATCTATTATGACAGCCAGTGGAGTCAACAACAGCACAAGAGCTCTGTGTTAGGGACAGCAGCCACCACTCCAAAAACTGTAACAGGGATGTGCCTGGCTACAAAATAGGATATGTTTATTGGTTGGTCTTAGCTTGGTTGTGATGAAGGATATGTTCTGTAGAAGCATGAGGAGAGAAGGAAAAGGAATTGTTTCTCATATTTTACTTTTTAAAGGAAATATAAATGTCTCTAGTTCCCATGACTGCAGCCAGTCATACGAATTCCAGTAATTGTTCCACTTCTTCTATATTTATTCACATGCCACTTCTATGAACTGTGAGTCAAATCTGCAAGACTAATTACTGATCTGAAGGATTTATAAGTTTTTCTTAGTCAACCAGTGTTTGTCTTAGTATTACTCACATGATTCTGAAAAATTGGCTGCTCTTGTACAAACCAGCTCGGCCAGGCTAATTTTGTGTAGATATTGTGATCTATATAGAATTTTGGGGGGATCTTACATCTGAGGGGAACATGTTCATTCATTATCATAAACAGGAAGCTTTGACATGTCTCACAAAAAAGTAAACATGCTTCACTCTCCTGTTTGATCTGTTTTTTATTGAGAATTTTCCAACTGTGTTTTAGAGATTAGTGGTTGCTCATGAAGCTCTTGCTCGCCACAATTAGATTAGTAAAGTGGAGTTCACCTGTGCATCGAGATACTGGATATAAACTGAAGACATTTGTTGAAAGAAAGAGAAAAAAGGGTAAAATTTATGACTCAATTTAATTTGCAAAGGTTTATTTGTCTGGATGCTATCTACAGACAAGTATAAAAGTATGTAACTTCTTGTAGGTAAGCACCATTCCCAGATATCTGAAGTGTTTACATTACTCTTCAAATCTGTGGAAGAATGCCCAGGAAGAGTCCAGGATTTAATCTGTTCACTAATTATGCACTTAACTCTTATTGCAGGAAGTTCTGAAGTTTTTCCTAAGGGAGAGTCTAGTCTGCCTTTACATATGATCAATGTATAAAAAGAAGGGAGAAGGAAATTTTCAAGAATTTTATCAACAAAATGTATAACAATACAGGAAGTGTATTGTTATAACAATCTGATACACACTTAAGAAAAGTTATTGTAAAATATCTGTTCTTGATATATCTGAGAAAGCTCATTATAAACTTCAGAATTTAGAGATTTTTGACAATCATGTCAAGTAATAAACAACAAATCAATAAAGACTGAACAATAATACTGATTTATTACATTAGTTTTGTTCATTTCTTTAGAGGAACAGAGAAAGAAGAATTTAAATTTAGGAAATTATGTTATATTGATAACCTACCAACTGTATGGTTGAAGTAGATTTGCCTCTGCCTGAATGTTCATTTAATTCAGACTCCACTGGAAGATCATGGGAATGTCCCCAGTGCCCATTAACTAAAGAAAGACCCTGCTGAATGAAGATGCTTTGCAATTAGTTCTGAAACCCAATGAACACAGGTGCAGCAATTCTCAGTGTTTTGTGAAAATTTATCATTTTTAATGATTTTTTTCCCAAACAAAATCTGTTGAAAAAGATCACTGGCATCAACATTTCCTTATGATTATTTTGTTAAAAACCCTGAAAAGTGAATCAGATACATCAGTGACAATCACAAAGGTTTGATAAAACTTAATTTATTTTAAAAATCATATTCAAATTTGAAGCTGTGATAGATATAAAAATTGACTCTCAGGACTCATCTAGTTCTCAGTAGAAAAAAATTAAAAATTGGTGGGATGATGATAAAACCCTTCTCTCAAACAAGGAATAAAAAGGACTCCTTTTTACCAAGCAAACAAAATATCACCATCATCAAAATACTCTCATTCTATTAATCTCACATTATATTCTTATGGGTGACTCAAAGGTAGTGGGATTAGGGAGTCATTGATGCCTAAATCAGTCTTCACACACTCTGTAAACAGAACAAGCAAAGGTTTAGCCTTCTTAAGTGACATTAGGATTGTCTCTCATGCTGAGAAACTTAATGAGCCTTCACATTTTGTGCTACATTCTATCCTTGCGCATAATCATATTTTCAGGCTCCTGCCATACTGAAATAAAGTAATAGAATTACTGTAAGCATGGCTGTGAGCAAGGAGATCTTATTATTAAAAATTGGGTCCTACTGACTGCAACACACATATTAGATTTTCACATCACTGGGATGGGGATCAAAAACAATTTGGAAATTTTAAGATATCATTCTTGAAAATATCTTATGCTTGCATCTATCTTTCCATTGCATCTTTCTCCTCTTCAAACAGAGCCTAGAGCAAACAACAGTCACTGCTATTTCATATGGATACACACTTTTCACCTGCTTCAGTGTGACTCAGGAATGCAGGCTTGTGGAACATGTTTGATTAACTGTTCCCTTTCTGGAATTATAAATATATGGAACACACTCATGAAGCAAGCACAATCCACAGAGCAAAGCAAAATAGAAACTGAAGGTCAATCTGGTAGGACCACTTTGGAAAGCAATTATCAATGTTTCATTTAACCCACAGAAATTATAATTCATTTCCACAATCATTTTAACATTCTGTGCACTGCAAAATCTCAAAATACAAGAGGTTTTTTAAAGGGTAAATTGTACAAAGCTTTACCTTGTCACGAGGTGTTACCAAAAGAAAGAAACACTTTTCTATCAGAAAAAATCCATGAATTCCTCCAATTATTCCCAAAAGTTTCCAAATATATTCTTTTCCCTCATAGAAATGCTCTACATCTTGTGCTTCATGTTTATGCAAACCAAGAGTCTAAAATAAAAGAGATAAAGTTAAAAAAATTAAAATGGCAATGTTTTAATTTTGGCTGCTGCAAGCCATAGTGCATGCATTCATTTTATTCTCAGAATTTTATTTTTCCAGTTCTGTCAAAGTTAAATTGTGTTTTGAAATAATCACCTGAATAATAGAGGATGAAATGAATCATGAGGAGCACAGCTACACTTTTTCATCTCTCAGTGGTGAAAGTAACATTATTTTTAGGGACAGTTTTATGAAATCACCCTTTATATATATGAGATATATTTTGTTTGCAATATATTGATGCTAAAATTCTATACAAAATACTTGCATTATCTTAATATGCAAACTTCCTATTGAAAATAGATAAGGAGCTACTGGAGAGAGTCCAGCAGAGGCCACAAAGATGTTTAGGGGACTGGAGCATCTCTCTTATGGGGAGAGGCTGCTGGAACTGGGCCTGTTCAGTCTAGAGAAGAGAAGTCTGAGAGGGGATCTCATTAATGCATATAAATATCTCAAAGGTGAGTGCCAAGAGGGCGGACTCTTTTCAGTGGTTCCCAGCAACAGGATGAGGAGCAGTGGCCATAAACTAAAACACAACTCAACATGAAGTAGAACTTCTTTACACTGAGGGTTGCAGAGCACTGGCATGGGCTGCGCAGGGCAGTTGTGGATTCTCCCTCTCTGGAGACATTCAAAAGCACCCTGATGTATTCCTTTGCAACCTGCTCTAGGTTATCCTGCCTTGGCAGTGAGTTGGACTACATGATCTGCAGGCGTCCCTTCCAACTCTAACTATTCTGTAGTTCTGTAACTCTGTGATTCTGTGAAAATAATGCATATAATAAATTAATTAATGCATAAATAACTCAGAAATGCATTTCTGTTGGTGGGTATGCTTCCTTCTTTTCCTTAGTGTCACAGCACAGCAGCCCTCCTTTGCTCTGAAAGTGAGGGCTCTAAAGGCTACTGGATACATCACTTAAAACTGGTGAAGGAGATTACTTCCACACTTAAAAAGTGCTGCTGAAAGAAATGCATTTGTCTCACATTTAGTGAGAATTGCCTTCCTTAAACCACTTTCCCAGTTTTGCTTCCAGAAATGATACACTGAGCATAAAGAAAATTTTAACCAGAATCTGAAGTGAAGCTCCGAAGGTCTTTCTGTGACCACTGTAAGTTTACTCACAACATTTGTGTCATATCAGAGGAGACTGTTAAAAATAAATGAATACACAATGGAAAATTTGGTTCTGTTTTGCATTTTATCCTGTTCTTAAAATTTAGATTATAAATTTAGGAAAAGATTATGATACCCATTTTATTATAGTTCTAGGCATCAGGATTAATTAGGTTGGTAGCGCCTGGTTCCCTGGAACAATCTGTGGAGGGGACTGTGGATGGCTCATATAACCTCAGAACAATTTTTGTTAAAATGTGTTACAGAATCTGCCTTATGAAATAAATTTATACCAATCTAGAATGTGCCTTGCAAAGTACTTGTGGAGTTTCTGAATTTTTTTTTGAAAAATAGGAACCTTTCTTTCTTTGAATACATCAATTACGGATTTCTGCTTATTATTATTTTTAACCTCTCTCTGAGCTACAGAGTGCAAATTTAATTGGGGTGCTGGGAGGATTTAATGGAAAGCTTTATTTATAACCTGATGAGCATTATCCAGGTTTAAATGAAATCTTTCTCTTCATATATGTCAACATTTTAAACAGCACAGAAGTCTTTATTACTTACCTGAGGAATAAGATGCAGCAATGCATCTCCAGAAAGGGTTCCAACAGCCAAACCGACAAACAGCTGTAAAATGAGTGTATAGATTTCTTGACAGGAGTTAAATAAAATGAGAGTTGTACCAAACATAGATCCAATAGTAATAAGTAAAACAGCAACAGTGCTGTAACCATATTCTGTAGGGGAAAACAAATGAAACAAAACAAGGGCACCTTTAATCATCCAATATTTGTATTTGTATTTGAGTATTTTTTTGTATTCATAATTGTTGTTGAGGGCATGTTTACATACCCCTATATACAAGCATGCAGAAGTGATTCATTGTGACACTATCTGATTTCAGCTGGGATTGAGTTAATTTTCCTAGTACCTGGTACAGTGCAGTGTTTTGGATGCAGGATGAGAATAATGTTGACAACACACTAATGTTTTGGTTGTTGCTAAGCTGTGCTTACCCTGAGTCAAGGACTTTTCAGTATCTCATGCTCTGAAAGTGAGGAGCTGAACAAGAATCTGAGGAGGTGAGGGAGGAACACACCTGGGACAGCTGACCAAACTGGCTAAAGGAACACTCCACACCACAGAACATAATGCCAAGTGTAGAAACTGTGAGGAATTTGCCAGGATGGGCTGACTGCTGCCCAGGGGTGAGCTGGGCATCAGTCAGCAGGTGGTACGCAATTGTGTTGCCCGTCACTTCTTTATCTTGGGGTTTATTTCCCTCTCTCTCTCTCTTTTTTTTTTTTTTTTTTTTTTTTAATCTTCCTTCCCATTACTAATTGCAGTAGCAGGAGGAGTAGCATGAATTGTATATTTTACTTTATCTCAATTATTAAACTGATGATAGCTCAACTGATGGGTTTTACCTTTGTCCAGTTCTCCTCCCCAGTCCCTGGGTGGGAGGCAGTGAGGGGTGGACAAATGACTGCTTCATATTTAGGTTCTGTCTGGGGTTAAGCCACAACAGCCACATAGATTTCTCTAGTAATGTGTGAACAGATGACAGAATTAGAAGCCCAGAAAACATTCATTTTTTCAGGCTCTACGTGTAATAGTCTAGTACTTCCAAATTTCAGACCTTAAGAGCTAAACAGACTGTGGCTATGCAAATCAGAGGCACTCAGAGCAGTACAGTAAACACTGCTCTGCATTTGCTTCCTCTATTAAAAGATTTATGCTTGAGATTCTATATTCTCACATGCCACACCTGTGTATCTTTACAGTCAACACCACATTTTTAACTAAATCATTTTCTGTAAACAAACAAAGGCCTAAAACCTCAAATAAATGTAGTGATCTAATTTAGGTTCTAAGCATAAACATTTTGGTCCAAATTATATTTAAAATTCTGCTGTGGAAATACATCCCTTCAGTTAACACACCAGGACCATCAGCCTATTTTTCCCAGATTACTGGAATGTTTTTGAATGTTAGTCTTATAATTCCTCAGAGTTACTCACTGCTCACATTTCCAACCTTTTGCACAACATGAATCCTGATTAATTTCTTTGGAAGTCTTATAATGGGAGGTAAAACACTGATGAGAAACACACATAAAGGAATTAATGCCAAAATATTTAAAACTGTTACTTAACATTTTAAACTTCAACAGCACTGCAAGTGCTTAGCACCTCATAAAATCAGACAGCTAATTTCACAGACTGCACATCCAAATACAAGAGTATAGTAGATATATATGGAATGTCAGGCCTTGGTGACAGCCAAAACAGCACAGCCCATCAGTAAAATAGAGTTCAGAATAAGACTAATGAGCCTAAGCCCAGGTCACTAGGTCACACACAGGTCAATCATGGAGTTCTTTATCTGTATCAAGACAGCAGAAGTGTCCCTGTGGTCATGGAAACCTTCCTTTGTCCAAATGCACAGGGAAAGGGCTGCAGAAAGGGCTCTTATTAATTCCATTCTGCACTTGAATAGTTCAATTTTTCTCATCTCTCACCTTTATGAGATCAGTAAAATGTCATTGATTAGGCTGATGGCTTTAGACTTGGAAGAATCCCACTTAACAGTGAATTTTTTTATGAACCTTGTATGTGACCTGAGTAAGTTCCTTTGTTTTCTTTCTTTGTCCCTTGATTCCTGTTCTAAAAAACGGTCATATCTGTGAAGCACAGAAAAGATCAAAGCAGTAAAGACTGCAAGGTGTTCAGGTAATGAACAGAGATATAAGATAAGAAAGAAGGACTGCTGCCTGTTGAAGACCAATAATGATTCTTCCTATTCTCTTTCTACTATAACAATTCTTTGGATATTCATGAGTATCCTCCCATGCTTTTTACTTCTGGGATATTCACATGTGTCTTTTCATGCTTTTTAATTCGTGTGCTGTTCCATAAGGATCATTGAGCGGCAGGATGTGGGGAAAACTTACTAGCTCCAGAAAGACCTAGTCATCTAAAGCTGACCAAGTAGATATTAGGATAAAGGCATTGAAGACATTGATTTGTAGCCTAAAAAGTGCTCCTGTAGATGCAGGCAATTATGGTTAGATGTCTACTCCTTTTTGGTCATTCCTGACTCCCAAATTCCCTACCAAACTTAATGTCTTTGTTATTACACCAATACACTTTGATTTGTAACCCAGATATCATTGGCTTAAAGTAAGGAAAAAACCCAGAAAACACATTAGGAAGCCCTAATTAGGAATAATTAGGAAGCTGACCCTGAATCTGAGTCAGCTCAGATTCTGATTTTTCTTTTATAAGGTGAACTAAGGATTGATTACAGGAGAAGTGGAGTCCATGGAACACATGGAGCAGAAAACACTGGAAGCAGAGGCATGTGAGGGCTACAACTGCAAGTAGAAACAACTCAATTATACCCTCAGTCAGTTCGTGTTCCAGCTCTATCACACAGGTCCTGCTGCCCTGGATTTTCTGGATGTTTTTCTAACCCCAATAAAATCCTCAAAGCTTCTCTGCTATAAAATATCACAAGCTGAAACACCAGTAATGCTCCTGCACAACTTGTCTGTATCAAGCATTTGCCACATCATTGTATAAAATGCCAGCTAATGTAACTTTGAAGCTTTATGTAAGAGCAATGCAATGATTACAACAGAAACCTGGTGCAATTTTCACAATATAAACCCTTACTGCCCAGCAATCCACAGACGAGGACCTGTTATTGCCCACCTGCTGGCAGTATCAAGCAGTCCTCTAACAAAAGAAGAAAATAAAGCTTAAAATCTTACACGTGGAAATAAAATTCCAAATACTATGAAATTTGACCATTGAATCCCCTCATTTCTCAATATAATACTATTATCTGACATGTATGCTATGAAATGATAGAATGCATAAATTACAGATGGTATAAATCCCATGTTCTGGATTATTAATTAATGAAAAGTCCCCAGAAGTCCTTGCACCTTTTTATCTTATCAATATTAATTAAATATTAATTTATTAATAAGAACATAACTTACTTTCCACAGTTGTTGGTGGAAGCTTTGTCTGTTTGAAGTCAGGAAGCTGACATGAACAACTTAAAAGTTGTTGAATGATAGCTGGACTGATTTGCTTGAAGTGGTCCTTAGAAATGGAGGAAGAACTGTTTTTCAAAAATATCTTCACAAGCTCATTGGCAGAGAAACAAACCTTTGTAGAAAAGGATATAGAGTTACTAAACATGTTGCATATACCTGCATTTAATTTTGAGGTTAAATACAGAATCTTAGAAGAAGACAGGGCACTCCAGTCCTAGAAGAAAACTGCTATATATCTATACTCTTTCTTGCTTAAATTAATTTAATTACTTCACTTTTTTTCTGTGTAAACTTGATATTACCATATATTTCAGAAAGACCAGAATCTTGGGGATTAACCAGCTCAATTTCTATTGAAGCCACTTAATGTCATTAAGATCTTAAAAAATAATATCTCTCAATATTTTATTGTTATATGTGCTAAGAAAAATGTTTTAATGCTAATACAAACCATATTCTTAGCTATTTTTGTGAAACTATTCTCGCAGTAATTGTGCTATTCATATAAGATACTGCCTACATCAAAGCAACACTGAGATTCGTCCTTGTACTGGATCTTCGCTAAGATATGGAAATAAGTTAGCACTTTAAATTAATTAAATGAGTGCACGTCAGCAAACTAGATGTTACATAGTCTAACACTGGTCTAAAGATTGCTTAATAATTGTATTATTACAGGTACTTCAGAATTCCATCTACTTTTTTGTTCTTGCTTGGACCATCTCTTTGTCAAAAGAAGCAATTTTTCATGGAAGCATTTATATTACCAAAATTTTCATGAAGAGTTGTGTTTTTCTCTCTAGGATGAAACTTCTAGTAAAAACATGAACAGTTAACACAAGAAAAATTCTAGTGGAAATTTCTGTAAACATTTTTAAACAGAACTGCAGATCAAATATGTTATCTTACTTAACAAATATGTTATCTTATTAATAATCTTCATTTCTTAATCTCATCTGATGAGCTGCGATTCAATATTTGGAAACAAAAAATTTTCTTTCATTTAAATTGGTCTGCATCTGAGACTCAAGGGATTCCTAAATATTCTTTCTCTCATTACTGAAGCCTAAGCTTCTTCTGAAGTTGTTAAGTATAATTACCTTTAAATAACCCAGTTAAAACCCAACACATTCCTGCTATTGCTCATCCATTAGTGAAGTAAAATATGCCCTGTGGTTCACTAAGAAACTGAATTAATTGAGCACCGATATATTTTTTTCTGAAAACCACGTTCAAATATTCAGGACAATGGGTGATCTTGTCACCTGGACCTGCCTTCAAGCCAAAGGAGAGCATGAAGACAATAAAGACCTACCATATTGGAAGAGACCTTAATTTTGCCTGTTCTAGGCAGTGATATTGACTCTAGAACTAGGGACCACTGATATCTGGTATTAAGTTGGAAGACTGGGATTTTGGCTCATTATGAGCAGAATTGCTGACCAGTAAGAGCAGGGATGATATTATTTAACAGCTTCACTAACAACTTGAGTGATGGAACAGAGTGCACCAGATGGCATTCACAGGTGAAACTCAACTGGGACCACTAGTCAGTATGCTGATGGGTGTGGCTGCTATTTAGAGGGACCTTGACAAGACAAAGAAATGGGCTGGCCAGACTTTCATGAAGATCAGCCAAGACAAACTTATTGTGCTTCACACAGAATAGCTCCATGTGTCAATGAAGGCTAGGGAAAACTGGCCAGAAGGAAGGCAGGTTTCCAGAAAAAGCCCTTGGGGTGGGTCCTGACAGGAACCTTGAACATGAGCCACCAGTGTGCACTTGCGGCAATGACCCCTAACTGCACACTGGCTGCATTAGCAAGAGCAGAGCCAGCAGGTACTGGAGAAAAAATATTGCCCACAACTCAGGACACGGGAGGCCACATCTGGACTATGTCCAGCTTAATAACCAGCAGTGCAATACACTGGCAAATTGAGGGAAGTCCAGTGGAGGGCCACCAAGATTGCTAGGGAACTGCAGCACATGATGTGCCAGGAGAGGCTGAGAGACCTGGGTTTGCTCAGTTTGGGAACAGAAGGGTAGGTGGGTATCTTAAGTCTTCAACTGTCTAAGGTGTTTAGAGGGAAGAGATAACCAGAGTCTTTTCAAAGGCATACAGTAAAAGAATGAGAGGCAAAAGGTATTAGTTACAGCAACAAAAACCTCAAATTTGTTATAATAAAGAAGGCCATCAAGATGAAGGCAATAAAGCACTGGTAAAGGTTTCCCAAAGACTGTCTAACACTGTTTTTGGAGACATTCCGAATTCAACTGAACATGGCTCTGTGAAACCTGATCTGACTTTGAAGCTGGCTCTTTTTGAAAAGTATAATAGACAAGATGAGGTCCAGGATTACTATGAATCTAAATTTTAATGTGAATTTATTACCACTAATTTTCAATGAAAAGCAAAATATCAATTGTAAAAAGAAACTGTCCACCCCTACATAAAAATAGCATTAATGTCTATTAAGTAAAATGTTCTTGTAAGATGTGGGGCATGAAGACCTGCATCTTTTCTAGTTGCAAGCCCCAGTCTTTGAAGCTTTTTAACATAAGGAGGCAGAGAACTGTCTCCATTAGAAAAGCAATTATGTATGTATCATCCTAGAGGATAATAACAAAGAAATAAGCACATTGATTTTGCATGTTTTAATATGAAAAACTGGATGGATGGATGGATGGATGGATGGATGGATGGATGATTTGGGTTCCCAAAGTCCATGTTTGTTTAATGAGGAAGGATAAATGAATACATAGACATTGTGACATAGTTTAATGGAATTTATGATTATTTATCTTATTAGATCATTTGCCACTTACTTTCTTTTATAGACATTTTTAATTGTAGAGAAAATAATGACTTTAAAAGAAAGCAGTGACCCTTTTTTGTGGTAATGTTTTAAATAATTATTCCTATATAAAAATTAAATTACAGATCTTAAGCTAGTTAGCAAACACAAGCCATAGGCAAGTCAATGTCCTGTATGTAGCAGAATCTGCTACTAATGAAACACAATGGCTATCATAGGTGCAGAAAACACGAGACAAAATGAGCAACACTGCAGTGAAATATGAAGTGTTCTAATGAAATATGTAAAGGAAAATAGACATAGCTAAAAAGAACAGAAATAATAAAAAATACCCTTAAAAACTACTAATATTCATAAAGAAGAGAAATTATCTTCTGTCCAGATGTTTCTTTGTGATTTTTTTTAATGTATACAGAATATTTGGCTTTCAGTTGACTCCTAAGACTCAGATAATGCCCCTGCACACTTATCCTTTGATTTACAGTCAGTTTTAGAAGTTCAAGACATCAAAAAACTGAGCTTTAAAAATACTTCAATTGCTGGAGAATTTTACTGCTTTTACAGATAGAATCACTACTGATTTCTGTCCTTCATAATTTAAAATTCTTATGAAACACATTTAAAATGACCTTAATTTAAGATTATTTTGAGACCCCATTAAAAGCCTCATCATGCTGATCAGAGTGATCCTTTTTTGTGGTGCAAAGAAATAAATGTATTGATAGAGTATGCATTTCAAATGCAATACAATTACACAGATAAATATCTATAGCATTTAGCCAGATGAAATTTGTCTCAGCTTTCCATGATAAAATGACCATACAGAAAAAGTCAATTGCACATTGCTCAGTTCTCCTAAATCGAGAAGAAACATTGCCACTGAGTTAATATAAATGGTAAAGGGTTGAAAACAATAGAAAAGTGTTCTTTGAAGGATATATTTCAAATGTATACACCAAGGTATACACCAAAATATATACTTTGAAGTCTCCTTTTTTGTCTAAGGAATGATACCCACTCTAAGGATGGAAGTCAATTACCATCTTGATCATTGTCATAAACAAATTTTATTTATTTTCAGATTCTTAGGATAAGAATGAAATCGCCTGCAATAAGCCAGTGTCCTTCAAAGTTCTCCGAGAGGATACTTTGAATACCTAAGGCTTTGTTTTACAGACCTTATACTTTCTAAAGAAGGCCTCTGGATTCCACTGATGGCTATAAAAAGAGTTTGGAAATGTCCAATCTTCAATTTACAGAAGCCTTTTAAAAGCAACTTACATAAAAACTTTAATTTACTTTGTTTTCCTTAGTACAAAACAATCCCTCTTTCTACCAGGTCACTTAAGGCATCCTAGAAACTCTGTGACATAAAACCACAAGGAATCTCTAATAACTGTAAGAAAACATCAAAGCCATGTTAATCCACTCCTCTGAGTCTTGAAGAAACACCTGATGCCACATAACACTAACCATTGTTAGCCCCTCCCAGTGACTACAATTGTACATTCAACATCCACAAAGGTTTTTTTCCCAATTAATATTTAAACAAATATAGCTATAAATCTATATTTTCTTCTATATCTACACGCCTTTTTGAAACTAATACATTTTACCTCAGACATATTGCATGGTTTGCAAATCAATTTAAACTTCTGTCAGTGAAATTCTGTCACCAACATTATAATAACATAAAAATAAATTAACCTGGTCCCAATCTGTGTTTCTTTCACGATCTTCAAAATAGCCTTTCAGATAGTCTCCTTTTGTATGGTTTCCTTTGACTGAAGTATTTCTTCTTCCAATATCTCTGATTGCCATACTGTAACGTCTTCTTTTGTGACTGTGAAATTGTCCATTTACAGTGCAGGTCTTTTTGGCTCTAAGCACATTGAGCAGTTGTTCTAGTTCTAGTAATTAATTAGAGAACAGATATGTTACCATAGGAAAATGCACATTTAAAAGACAAAACATTTAAAAGACAATATTTTTTTTCTTTTTGTTTGTTACAACATTGATTCAATTCCTCATTTTAATACTCTTTTCTCAGTTTGGTACTGGAGGCAATTTCTGCTTAACAACTCTGGAAGTTCCAGACACCCAGATCCTCAGCCTTTCCTTCTTTACATATCACACTCAGATGTGACTGGAAGGCAACTCATCTTTCATTTAATCAGCATCTCTGACAAAGTTATCTAGTAATTGCTAAATAACTTCACTGTTCTTAAAATTTCCCTGTGTAAATGGAACTCCACGCTAAGCTGCCACAGCCAGGTATTCGGATCAGAAAACTCATCCTCCATAGGGTGTCCTGAAATGAATCTTCAGGATGTTGTGCTGTCCTTGCACTTCAGAAGTGCAGCACAGGACAGTGAATTTTTTCTCTCCTTTGGTTAACTGGGAAGCATGCCTGCTCAGAGCACTGAAACAGGAAGGAGAGAGACAGGATCCCTAATCCAAATCTGAGATCATGCACAGACGTATCATGACACAGCTGGGGTGCAATGGGTGCTTCTGCTGATGGAATGCCCAGTTATTTGAGAGGCAGGCCCTATCCTATCTTCCTTATCACCTTCCTTCTCCCCTGCACTGTCAAATAAAACCATAGTGATAATTTCTGTCTGTTAAAAAGGGGTCCACAAATTAACTTTCAAGAAATTTAGATTAATGGGAATGTTTCAATATGATAATCCTTAATTTTTTAAATCTTGTTACTCAGAAAATGCAAATGGTGTAATCTTAATGGTAAATCTCACAAAAAAGTTTCTGATAAAATGTTTCACTACTTTCTTTTGGCTACTTAAACAAACAGATCTGAATGGAGCTATATTTGCAGGTATATTTGTTTTCTAAATGTAGTAAAATCTAATTTTCTTTTTCTATGCTTCAGATTCTTACTCTTTCCTGAAGTTACTGTTAAGAATTTAAATAAATTTAAAGGGACAATATAATGAGCTTAGACTTAAAATATACTTACTCTGTAACAAACTGGTTAAGAATCTCTTTTTGTTTTTCTGAATGATATCCTAACTCCACCAAGCATACAGTCCTGCTGTTACCTTCACTGGGGCCCAGATTTCACCATATATAGCTATTTAGTAGCACTGTGCTGAGATGGCTCCATCCATTCTTGTGAGAATTATTTCACAAGATATGGCTGGGTAATTTTAAAGGAAGAGCTTTGCTGCCAAACCAGTGTTTTTAAATACAATCTATAAGCCCCAGTTTAGGGCTAAGGATTATTATTTTTTAGTATTTATTTCTGTGATTCAATATACCTCTGTGTAACCTATGAATGTTAAAATATTTTTAGCTATGCTCAATTCAACTTTTTAATCTGTTTTAACCCATAGTTAATGTAACTTTAAGAAAGTGCTCTGAAAAGCTTGTAAATTGTTGCTGTTAGCAATTGCCACAAAAAAGGAAAAGTTGATATCTTATAACAATCTTCTAAACCCATACCAGGCCTCTGAATTGATGGTGTAGCTTCTTAAACTGCCAAGCAGGCACAACCTTTTACAGAAATTAATAGCTGCTGGTGCTGAGAGCTTGGTGTTTGTTTTGTTTTGTTTCAGGTTTTTTGTTTTGTTATTTTTGGACCAGTTAGAGCACTCCTATACTTCTATTTATTTATGGTTAAGTAGCATTTCTGATAAGTCCAGCAATAAATTTTCCTGAATAAAATTACCTTTGCATACTCCAGCTTACCTGTCACTTGGAGCTCAGTGGTACTATTTAGAGAACTGAAAATATATTTTATAAAGAATTCTGGGGAAGGCAAACTTGCTTTCCCCATACAGACTCCTTGGAGAGCCAGAGTAAGGATTAAAGCAGCCAGGCGTGGAAGAGTGTTTTCATCAGCGCCATCTCTGTCCACTATATCAGCATTTTTCTCCAGAGTGCTCACATCAACACACTGAAATCAGGAGAAAACAGCATGAAGACAGTCCTTCTCACCTTCATTTAAATAATCAAAGTGACAGGAGGAGAAACTGTGGAGAACAATTTCACAGACAGCCAGAGTAGAACAAATGCTAAGATGCAAGCTGTAATTGCCAGCAGGACAGCTAATCAAAGGACATTTTCAGGAGAACAGGCATAGAATTAAAAATCTTGAACATTTACTCAGTGTCTAATAGGGGAAAAGTACAGCCCTTCATTCAGGTTATTTTTGCTTAGTGTTATTTTCCTGCTGTTTCTATTGTTCCAAGTGTCCTCCTCAATTACATCTACTTCTAGAAAGTGGAAGAAAGGGAAGGAATTTTTGTTAAGGCACAAGAAATTGGCTCAAATAATACAGACTGTAACTCTTCATCTCAAACTTCAGAAAGAATTCTTTAAATGTTTTTAGTTCCTGACCTATTCAATGGAATCAATAGTTTTTTATGGATTAGTTATCTGGGTACAATATGGAAAGATATAATTTTGCTGATAAAGGGTGACTTTCCTGCTGAATGACCAAATAAAAACAGTAGTCAGTGGTATACCAACTGTGTGTGGAGGTTTGCAAACTATCTTAGTTGCTTGGAAATTTACCCCCCTTTTCATATTTTCTTCCATTTTTTCCTTTCTCGTTTATTTTCACTGCAAATAGTTGGGTTTGAATGAAACTACAACAAAGATAAAAAATTACTTGATTTAATTATTTTCTAACTCATATTAGCAAAATTAAAAGGTCAGCTAGATGAGCCAGTACAGTAGCCATTTATTTCATACATACTCATCTCTCCTTATGTAGGCCACAAACACTTCAGAGAGGAGGCTGCCATTTCTTTTCCTGCTCATTCACTATACATTAAAATTTTCACAATCCAAAGCTTAATCTCTCATTTCCAACAAGATAATAGGTGCCATGACTAAAGAAGAGAATATTTTCTGTGAAACCAAAACACATAAAGAGCCACTAAAAATGCTTTTCTTCTATGACTACCCTGTGCCATTGGCCCTTTTCCACAACTCAAGTGTTGTGATTCCAAGTATTATGCTATTATGTTTTGTGTACCTTTCATAAAAGAAACCTCTTTTCCCTCAAGTCAGTGAATGGTGAAGTCTCAGTCACTGGACAGACTTGACAACTGATTGTACTGCCAGCATAAACAAACAGAACCCTCAGTAAAACATTTTAGCGTTGTTATTCTATCTTGACATTCCAAATACCCTCCAATGCCTCTTTACAGTTGCTCAGATACCATTGGAGTCCTTGGAAATCGGCACGTTCATCAAGACTCAGAATCAAAAGCACTGGTCAATGAATAATTTATGGAGGGAAATGACCACACAAAGAAGACATAGAGAGGAACTGGAGGCTCTCAACATTCTGGACACAGCCAGGTCTCCTACCCATCTTCTGCTTGCGCAGAAAACCCTACTACAGCATGCTGTAAATGAAAATCTAATGAAATGAAAATTTTGAGCTTTGTATAAACCAAATTTAACTCAATCCATTGAACAGATCTAAGGAGCTACAAACAGGAGGTCAACCTGTACTTTAGGAGTTATCTAATCTGGCTAAAACCTGTTTTATTGCCCATTACAAGAAAAAGTTTCTTCTTCGACTTTGAACTCCAGAATATTATTCTATTATTTTACAGATTTTATTTGAAATAAGGAATTCTAAACAGCAGTGAGAAAACTCACAACATGTTCCCTGACTTAGAAATGATGATCTAAGCCAAAAATCCTCAACATGTTTTTTTTCTTCAACTTTAAATTTAAGCTTATCTTTAACAATCTTTCTACAAGGCACATCCATGCTGGTAGATAATTAGTCACAAATGTGTTCCTACTGAAGGAAGCCATCATATCTTCATATTCCTCATTTCGTCCAGCTTTGGATAGACAGGGAAGTGTAGAACCTGGCAGGGATTTCATCACAGCAAAAGAATTCATTATTTCTCCTATACCAGCCAGTAATGGATCTGTTTTGCTTTATACCATTGAATACTTCAACTTTGAACTCTATAATATTGTTCTGTTATTTTATAGATCCTATTTGAGATAAGCATCTTAAATAGATCCTTAGATCTATCTCAAATAGATCTCATAGATCACTGGTAGTGTATCCATGCTAACAAATATCAGCTATGAGAAATTATTTTCTGTCCTTGGAGCCACGTGCAAAATATTGCATCTACACAGCTGTGCTCTTTTCCATCTGCCCTAAGCAGAGCAACTGCATCTGAATTGTCCATTAGGAATGGTACCTAAAGTGCAGTATTTCACCAACCACTTCCACAGACCCTGCCAGAAACAACTCAAAGAAAAGCATTAAGGAGCACATAAAACACAATCCCAGTGTTCAACCTGTGCTAGGACACTTTCACCTACAAGTCTTCTGGAGGACTGTGGTACTGGCACAGTCTCTGTACTAGCATAAAGGCATTATACCTGTAATAAAGATGAAGTTATTTTTACATATGTTTTCTTTACCTGGTTTTCAGAAGTTTTAAAATGCTGCCTTACTGCAGCTAAAATATCTTCAGTTTCATTTCGTGAAAAATAATAACAGTCTTCATCATGTCTTAAACTAAGCATACTCTGTAGGTAAAATTTATAATCCTTATCATTCAAGCTGAATTCTGAAGAGCACATATCTCTACGATGAAGAATGTAGTAGAGAAGAATAAGAGAAATTCTCTCAAATACTTCTTCACTGAGATGATCTTCTAAATCTCCTCCAGTTATCAGTAACAAAGCATCTGGTTCAAGGCACTGTGAAGAAATAAAAATAAATGGAAATTCAACTCAAGTGACACCCTGCCAGGCATCTGCAAATACAGATAGGAAGGACAACGAGAGAATACAAGTTCTCTATTTAAGGGATCGAACCCAAAACTTCACAAATGCAGGCTGGCAGAATGGCAGGAGGAGGGGGTAGGTAATTCTTCAGAGTTCTATGACTGCAAGATCACACCATGGGGTTTTTTTCCAGAGCCCCTTTTATTTTTAAGGAAAGTCAAGTGTCCTAGAGATGGCACTTTGAGCAACCTGGTCTATTGGGAGGTGCCCTTGCTCATGGTAGAGGGAATGGAACTGTGTGACCTTTATGGTCCCTTCAAAGTCAAACCATTCTATGATTCTATTCCGTAATTCTATGATTTAGTGGTCTGAGACTCGCTACAATTAGGAATAATTTTGATCAATCGTTGTAGAGAGTGAAAACCTTCCACTGGCTTCAGCAGATTATACTTCTGCTTGCAAATATATTAGATAAGGGCTAGGCCTATTTATATTTTCATCTGTGCATTCTATACGTGTTTACATTATGAGATAAAAACAGTTGCTGAACTGTAGTTAATTGAGGCTATGTAAACAGAAGTTATACCATATTCAATGCACTGCTGAGAGACATAATTGAGCCCATAATCACACAGATATTTTTATGTTTCTCAATGAATTCTGTTAACTGCAACAATGAGATCCAGTGCAGAGCCAGCACAAGGTCTCAACCCCATTTAGTCCTTCAAAAGCATTTCAAGAGGGACTGAAATTACATATTCACCCTGTGCAGGCTTTACATCTGAGCACAGATTTTTAATATGTACAAAATTGCAGACACTAATAGCCAAATTAACTATTTATATACATAAATAAGCTAGATTACAGTATGGTTCACTGTGTCCTGTCCTGCCTTCATTGCTTATTAAGGTCTTTAACTTTTCCTAATTCAGTCTCTGACAATTACTCTTTCAACTATGAGGAGTCTATTCTCTTTTCTGTCCCAAAGACCTCAAGTCAGTCAACCAGCCTTTATGAACACTCAGTAGTAATACAATAAACATATGGCATGAAGTGGAAGATTTTCAAAGATTTCTGTAAGATTTTAAAATCCACTGAGGATAAATTGCAATCAGTGAGTCCATTGTTTGCTCTTGCAAGGAAGATGACTGAAAAGAAAATTGCTAATCAGAAGGAAGCAGATGCATTGTAAAAGATGCAGTTACTCCATAGCATATGGGTAGCCCGTGGTGACTGACCCTTGAAGCGATATTAAGAGAATATAAAGTAGTTAGTCATTAGGTTGGGGGGTTTTTTGTTTGTTTTTTAGTTTGGGGGGTTTTTTGCTGCTACTATTATTTTTACAGGAAAAAAACATCTGTCCTTGATTTAGAAAAGCTAAACAAAAAAAGAAGCCCAGAACTTTGGCACTGAAGTCTGAGTTTCTTTTCTTTAAGTGGCCAGAAGTTCCAAAAAAATTTTGCTTACCAATGCAAGAAATATATGACGTCTGTTTGCTTAGGAGATAAAAAAATATCAGATGCTATTCAACAGTTGCCAGCCCCTGCCCAAAGAGTCTTAGGGCCACTATATAACAACAAACCAGAAGAGAGTCTAAAGAAAATGTTAAACTTCACTGCTTTTAAATGCCCAATAGAGATATCATAAAAACAAAAATTAAAAAAATCTGAAAACAAAGTCATGTGGTATAAGCCAATCCTGGATTTAGAAGGGAAATTGAATCTGAAATCAATTAGTGATTCCCAGCAAGTATGAGGAAGAAAATGCCAATATAAGATGGGATATTCTGTTTCAAATTTTGATGAACTTGAAGGATAGTGCTTCTTGCACAGTTTTTGCTATCTTGGTTTACCAAATCTTGTTAAATCATCATGGAAGATTTCAGCACAGTATCACGTGGGCACCATGTGACTGAAGTGCCACATTTCTCTCAAGGACTTCCTACAGAAAACTACGTGCCTGTGGTGCTGGCACAGAAACACTGACAGTGCAGGATGTGTGCAGTGTTTCTGACTCAGATTACACTGAGGAATCCCGAAAATGGTAAGAGTCCTCAAAGTCTTCCTCTAGAAAATTTCCAAGATGAAGCCTGAGCAGAGCAGCAATACTGACCAAAGTAAGCCTCAGGTAAGTTTCCCTTAGATTTTGTCCATCCAAGGACACCAGCAAGCTCTCCAGAAATACATCACAAATACAAGGAAAAACCATGCCACTAGAAAAGAAAAACAAAAAGGGCAAACAAAAACTTAGCCCCCTGTTTTGTGAAGTTTGGGAGGATGTTGTTAATTTTTAGTCTGGGCCTGTATCTGATGCATATGTGTTGCCCATGTGTGAATAATCTCTTTCATGAAAAATTATCCATTTAGGCAAGGAGAGGCACCTACAATATTTGTGTATGAAATTTCACATTTGGGTTCGTATGAAAAATGGGAGCATTTTTAGAAAGGGTTAATAAAGTGAGCAGCTGCCTACTGCACAGGATAAAAAGATTACTACTTCTTTGGCTTGGCAGATTGCTGAAAACAGCACCTTGTAAAAACATTCACCTTTCAGACCATCTTCGTAAGTGTGGTATAAAATGACACTGCTGTATGTAGGTCACTGAACAGTGCCAGAGCCAGAGTAATGAAAGCCAAGGCTGACCAAGCCCTTTGTCGTCCCTTTTAGCTAAGTTGCTCAGTAACACTGTCCCTGTCCTTTCTTCACTGAATCAGGACTGAGTCCTTAAAATATTCTCAAGTAGACAACCAATCCCTCTGTGCAACTGTACCCTGGACTACTTCCAGTTTCAATTTGGATTTGTAGATTCATTGTTCTGCCTTTCATTTTCCTTGACCTGAACTGCTTACAAACCCTCCCCTTAATCTTGAATATTTCAGTGAAGTGGTACATAAATCTGAGACAATCCTGTCTGGTTTTATTTTTATGAAGTAAAATCCAGAACAACAACAAAAGAAGTGGAAAAACTGGTCCCCAGTGTTTACCTATGTCTTTCCACAGTGGAAATCCTGTGCCCCAAATTCAAGCTCATGCTTTTATTGTTACACCAGGTTTCAGCAGAAAAACTTTTGCTCAAAAACAAACACTTGGGAACTTTAAAAGGAATGTCGGTCATGTTTGGAATATCTCTTCATGAGCTCAAACAATAAATAATAATAATTCAAAATGAAACAAAGCATGAACAATTTTTTTTTGCTGCAACAAGATTTTTACATGTTTAGGTGTCATATTCAGGACAGTATCACTCAAACAAATGTTAGAACTCACTGATGATTCTGTAAAGATATCCCTCATTAATTGAAGCACTAACCAGATTACAATCCTCTTGCATGCCATAAATCCGCTGTGGGCACTCAGCTCTCTTCAGTAACATTTTGACCAGTTCTCGTGAGTGGTTCATGTGGAGCTCAGTGTTTTCAGCTGAGAGAATGCGTAAAACTTCCACCAGAGAGCCTCTGCTGGGAGGATTGCTGCCATCCTGCCCATGCTCTTCCCCAGGCTGTCCTTCAGCAATGAGCACGCTGAATATGAAAGCAGAACATACCACCCCAAGAGCTGGATGCTTGGTCAGAAAACACATCTCCTCTTCCTGCAGTTTGTGATCTGCACTGAACGTTGGATTGTTGTTTGGGCTGCACAGCTTAAACTGGAAATCTGAAGAATCTGAATGGTAAAGGGGAAAAAAAACCCAACCCTTTAATTAGTGTGAATGCAATATGTTCGAAAGGATTTATTAATTGGTCGGCTAAGCTGATTTGCAGTGACAAGCTGGTTTTGAACAACAGGGAGCCTGTAAGGACTTTACAGCACAGAACAGCAGGAAACTAAGACAACTATGGCCTCAAAACTTCTTTAGAATTACCAATAAGAGGTTGTCTCAAAGTGCCCTTCCCTCTTCTTAAAAATAAAGTCTATGGCTTTCATTTCAGTGTTATGTTATTGCATTCTCTACTAATTCTAATAGGAAAATACCATAGCTTTTGTTTTCATTTCATCATGAAAACAGGTCTTTAGTAACAAAAATAGCTGTAAATAAATATTGCTAGTCTAATACTATTATGAATGCACAGTAATTATGTTACATAGAAATAAGATAAAGAAGGTTATATTGTCAAAACACTTTACCAACATCACTAAACTCCTGCTATACTGCACAAAAAAGGAAGAAACAAGATGTACTTAAAAATTAGTGATTATTACTCAGATGGAAGAATTACAAATCTGAGGTTATAATTTCACTCAAAGAACTCAGTGAATAAACAAGACAAACAAGCGTAACTTGTTAACTCTAGGTGCAAAAGACATTTTGTACTATAAATCTCTCTTGTTCACAATCCTTCCTAATAAACCACTCCTTCTACTTTAACAGTAATCTATAAAATAGTTTCACTTCTGTTTTCCACAGAAGTTTTGATTTTATTGATAGACAGATGCTGGCAGTGACATACATATTCAGATAGTAAAGCACATGTTAAACAGCCACATGTACATTCATCTTTGAACTGCAATATGATAGACGTCTTATTTTAAAGGAAACTTTGCTAACAAATTATTTAAAATTGAAAAAGAACTGCTGAATTCAAATGGGCATTTAGTCCCAAAAAAAGTTAGTATGTTTGTAGATATTAGGAAATCTTTTGGTGTTTAGATATATTTTACTGTTAGGAATATGTATCATAGTTACAAGGATATTATGAGTATTTATTTCTAAATGTTATTTCCTTACCTTCTGAAGGGAAAAAGAGTGCTCGAGTATCTAGGTTTGTGGCCTTCTGAATCCTCAGAAGTATTTAGCTGCTGGAAGTCCAATGTTTTTAAAATTCCTTGATGGTGCTCTGGAAGCTGGAGAGGATTAGTTTATTGCTGCCTTGAAAAGTTTTCAGTTGCTATGGAGAGAGCTGCCCTTAAGGTAACAATGGAGGTGGATAGGAATTAGTACATGTTCTTCTTGTACTTGCAAGTTCTAAGCCTTGCATTATTGAATTTATTTCACATTTTCTAGTAGGTATCTTTTTATGTAAACAGTCTATTTTAGAAATACAAGATGTATAAAATCTACTAAAGAGTGTATTTCATTGTGATGGATAATATATGCAAGCACTCATAACTGTTCTCTGTGTTACTAAATTATTTGATCAATGCTACAACAAACCTCAGTTTTGGTTTTTTTTCATTAAAATATTACTACTTTTTCAAAATATGAGAACACAACAGAAATAGAAATCTTTTCAAGCACATCCATAGAAAAATTATATTTTTTTCTTTGCAAAACACTGCCCATAGAAAACAGCCTCTTTCATTCCCACTTATCCTGTGTCACATTTGCTCCAACTGAAAAAGCTGAGATAGCTCAGCCTGTGGTGAAAAAAATTGCCGTCCACCCACTCAGATTTTCCAGAGGGACGCTGTTACGAAGTTGACATTTACATCACCACACTATTACAATATTACTGCACTGGAAGTTAGTGAAAACTGTCACAACTGACAGATTTCTACAGAGACCAGCACACCAGTCATATCATTCTCCCACCTTCCAAACCTTCCGTGCTGCTATGGAGTACTATCATCTCAGCTGGCTCAAGAAATCCCGTGAAGCAGTAAGCCTGTAGTAATATAAACATTATAATTCTCTTTAAAGCTAGATTAACAAAAAATCCAGGGTTCTAAAATGTCTGTAAGGTGGTAAGCTCAAAGGGAACAGCCTTGTTTTAGCAAGACTGAGAACTGACAACTGATGCTGACTATAAAAGAATTCAACTGACAACGCCAGCTTGAGGGAAATACAAAATGTAAACAAACGTTCTCAAAAACACAAAGTACAAGTACATGTAAAGATTCCCATGTGATGAAGGCTATTTTAAAAAACAGTCCTACTTTTAAATATTATTTTTACTTCATAAATTACAAAAGATATTTATCAATCTAACATTTCTAAATATACCACTTTAAAAAAACAGGAATTACAGAAATTTTTCATATAAATATTTTTATAAGAATGACTGAAAAGCAGAAACACATGATAATATGCATTTCCTCTGGCTTTCATATAATGTGCTCTGTCAAACAAAGCTAACCATGTCCAGATTTGTTCCACTAATAAAAATAATTCCTCAGATAATGGGGCAATAGCTTCCAGAATTTAACTCTGGGGATTGCTTAATCTCCAAACAAACATAGAATAAGTTTATCTGTATATCATTTGATGTTTTATGTATAATTAAAAATTGAAACTAAGAATTCATTCCATACAATTAAAGTGTACAAACAGAGGGTGAGTTGTTTCAGTTTACTGAGAAAAGCTAACATTTAAAAACACATTTGATTATTCATAACTATTGAAAGCTTCTGAGAGATTTGCATAATAATACTGGCTACAACTTACTTTAATATTTATATTACATAGTGATGGTAAAAAAAAGAAAATATTCAGTACATGAAAAAACAACAGATAATTGGTACAGTCTACAATGGCTGATCTCAAAGGGGAATTCACATCCCTTTCTATGACTAAGTGTTGCAAACCTCTCCTGGCTTGGAAATGAGCTTCTCAGTGGTGGCAAAATCACTGACAGCGACTCAAGGTTCACACTCTGCTTTTACCCTTGACACTGTGTTTTCACAGTCATGCCGCTGTTCTTAAAGAACTATTATGTCTACACAGCACTTGGATTACTTCTTCTGAAGTAATTGCTGGCATCAGTTGCTAAGTCTTTTGTTCAAACCCTTGTGTAGCAGCATTATGCCCCCACTACTCACCCATCCCGAGGCTGTGCCAACTGATCAAATAGGACCACGACAAATACAGAGATGTGTAGTTAGATACCTATTAGAAATTTACTGATACACAGAAAAAAAAATCATTTATACAGTTTAATATCTTAAAACCTCCCAAAGCACCTGTCACTAATATTGTAACTCATGTGATATGATACTAACATTTTGACTCAGATTTTACTGTGTGCCTTTTGGAAAATTTTGATAAAGTGGAAAAAAACTCCATGAACAATACTCATAAGCCAAAGACTCTCAATTTACTAGAGAATCATAATATGCATGGAAGAAAACTTTGAGAAGAACTGGAGAACTGGGGTAACTCAGAGTGAAGTGCATTACCATTCTAACACGACAATAGACATTCTATAGCAAAACCAAAGGTAGGATGAATTTTCTGACAAAATAAACAATTTTTTAAAAATACTATTCCATTTTGCACTTATTTACATCCCTTGGTCTGCAAAAGCAAGGATATAAGATCAAGAATTGTCAGGAAAAAAAATCAGTATTTTAAAATTAGTTTGAACAATTACTGTGCTGGGGTACTTGCAAGAAAGCAACTAATTGCTGACAGACATAGGTGTATGACCCGGGGAAAAAAAAGTAAAAGAAGAAATAAGGTAAAAAAAAGAGTGAAAAAAATGTGAACTTCTCAAAACTCTATTTCATTACTAGATTAATGATCCCAGAAAACAGCATATAATTTTTTTTCCACCCACAATCTTTTATGATTTAGAAAGCTCATACAGCAGCAACTTATGGTCTTAGTGAAAAGGAATGAACACAATTTAGAAATGTCACAACTAGACATAGAACATGCAGCAAGGCCTCTCTAGTTTCAGGCGTTTAGTTAGTTAGTTTTAATTTTAAGTGAACCAGTAAGACTAATTGCAGCTTATCTGGCTTCTCCCACCTTCACACCTGCTGTGGGAACAAAAGCAAGTTGCCCATTCACAAATGCCATGGATAACTGCACTCTGCAATTTACTGGGTTTCAATGATTGATGAATAAATTGTGTAGGAATAGGAAAACTCTATTGAAGACTCACTCTGAGATGACAAGGGCATTTCCACGAGCCCTACCAACATGACAAGTGGCTTTATTTTATTTTTACAGTGGAATGGGAGAGGATGTAGGCATAATTTTAGCAAGACCCCTGCTGAACTTCACATCATACTGGGTAATGCAGCTATATAACTCTTATTCCTTCAATGCTGTGTAACTTGTTTTGATGGACTATGCAAATGCATTTTCTTCCTTTTTACTAATGGCAGCAATTATGGCAAACAGAAGTGAATCTTCTGGCACTGCAGCTTTCCTCCATGTTATTAATGTGATGTGTGCACATTGTATAATTACAGCCATAGGCAGTATATTGACATATGAAAGAACTACATTTTGCATGTAATTTGTAGAATTTCAATACATAAAGTATCTTTGCCAATGTAATGCCAGGGTGCTGTAATAAAAAATGTCAGTACTTTAAAATTACCAGAGTCAATTAAGCTTTTTTTGGCATCACATGCCAATCTTAGCAATATCACATGTATTAAAGTTGCCAATGAATTAAAATAAATTAATATTACTGAAATTATCTGAGTTACATGTATTAGTGTATATATATATATATATATATATATGCCTGGAACAAATCTTGTTTTAGTTCAGGATTACAAAATTCACTTGTTAGCAGAAAGTTTTCCAAGACAACCTGGAAATCTATTTACATTAAAGTAGAATAGCAAGAAAGAAGTTACAGTTTACTGTACACTCTAGGCCAGCAAATCCTCTTACATTTTAAGAAATATACCCCCAGAGGTGCCTTCTCACATATTACAGAATTAAGGTGACATTTATTGTCCTAAAATATTACTGTCATGGAAACAGTTTTGAAATTAAACAAAAGTGTTCATTTATACGGAAAGTGTGATTTAAAAATTATTAGTTGACTCCATCTGACTACAGACTTCTCCCTCACACAATCTCTCTACTGCTCTGTCTGGTTGTGTTTAAAACAAAACAGAGAAAGAAAACTGAAATACATTTGGATGTAGGTATAACCATCAAGACTATTCAGTGATAGCAATTATTATCATGAACTTTGTCAGAACAGGAGATATTAGTATTTTGGGTACGAAAAAAGGTTTCATAAATATGGATATAATGTTGCTCATTTTTTACTTAAAGAACACATAGGTTAAAAAATGTACTTGTATTTATTGTTCTTAGGAACATTAGAAACCTAAATTTTATGAAAGTATCTAAACATTAAAGTAAAGCTACTAGACCACCAAGTCAGCTTCAGTTCTCTCACCTCCTGTTATACCAAAGAGATGCAGAAATCAATTTCTAAGCTTTTCACTGCCTATTGTAGGGTTTTATTCTGCAGTATTATCAGACTGTTTATGTATGTTGTTTCTTTTTTTTTTGTTCCTTTAGGTTTCCAAAGAAACTGGGCTCAAAAACTGAGTTGATCTTACTAAGAGTGTGTTACCTAATGCAAAGCACTTACAGTCTTATCATGTATGTTGAACTATTAATTTAAATATCCCAAGTGAAATATTGTGTAGTACTACAGCATAGAACACTAATATTTCAATGAAAAAAATAGAGTTCAAAATTGAAAAACAACCTTTTGAAAATTATATTGTTCACCTTGTAGGAAACTGACATGTATTGTAAGTTGCATCTTTTTAGCCATTGACTTCTGACCCCAACATATTGATTTTTTTCCTTTCCTACTGATACTTATTACCTTATCCTTGAAAACCACTCAAATGTTCTTTATGTACTTTTGTATTTTTTCTTTACATAAATATTCATAAAATATTTATAAATAATTTTTCTATCAGAGAAATTGAGATAACAAGTGATTACTCATTTTTTAAACTATGACTCACTTTTCAATTCTAAAGAAATTCTCACAACAGAGAAGAGTAATTTCAGGCAAAAGCCTGTTGTCTGAGAGATTAATGTTTTTCAAGGTCTTCTAGGCTACCACCAATAAAAGAAAACTATGTAAGTTTCTTAGGCATGAATACAAGCCAGAATGAGAGGAGAAAGTCTCTTTCCATCTCTTTGTCTTAAATTCAGGAAGTGTGTAAGTGGTACCAATAGTAAGAAGAGTTTACA